TTTTGTTAAAAAAAAATAAAAATTACTCACATTACTAATTCGCTGCAATAGGCGCTTGTATGCAAGAAAAATAAATATACAGATATGCAAAATTACACAATTCTTAGAGAACAACTGTAACACCTTCCTCGTAGGCGTAGTGAGTATGTGTAAGTTGATGTGAGGTAGTTTTAACGAAAGGAGATGTCCAAAAATTCACAAAGCCATTTGAAAGATCTTGTTTTGTTTAGTAAGACTGCATTATAACTCAGTTGTTCTAAATTGCCGGTAAAATTGTATGGCCTTATTCATCATAATAAATTTGATTTAAAGAGCTTTACATTTTCATACACTGCCGGCTAAAAGTATTGGCACAGCAAATTTTTCACAATATATGCAACAATTTAATATTTTAATATTCTTCCGCCAGTTTTTTTTTATAAAAATATGGTTCATTCTTCAACAGAAAACATATAATATAAAAAATATAATTCGAAAATTCAACAAATTTTCAACTTTTTATCCAAACTTTTTAGAATTTATTTGAGTATGCAGTTTTGCAAGTTTAGAGTTAGTCAAAATCGCATTGATTTTTGTGATTTTTTTTGTTTTGCATTTTTCCATATAAAGTATTTTCGAATTTTTTTTGTATGGAAGAAAAAAATTGCCAAAAATCAACGGTAATTCCTAGCTACTTAAACCTTGTACTTTATTATAATGAAATTGATTGGCCTACAAATCTGCATACTGAAACAAATTCTAAAAAATCTGATTAAAAAGTTAAAAATTTGCGGGAAAATTTGTTGTTTTTGTGAGTTTTGCACAAAGTTTAGGAATTATATTTTTATGTTCTTTGTTGTAGAATGAACCATATTTTAAGAAAAAATTGGCGGCAAATTTTTCGAATAAAAATTGTTGCAAATATTGTGAAAAATTTGCTGTGCCAATACTTTCTGCCGGCAGTGTACATATTCGAAAACTAAAGGAAACATCCATATACCGGAAACACCAGTCGAAAGACCTTGTTTTAAAATATATATATAACTGCATCTATAACTAGAAATCGTCAAAATGGCGCTTACGGCAATCTTTTGTTCAGGCGACGATACGTTGACTAGCAAAACTGCAACCACTGCAAGGAAAAGCTAAGCACCTACAACGACCCACTGTTTGGATTAGTTTTTAGGCTGGCGAAGTCATCTTCGAAACTGATGCCGATAACGATGTTACGCTGTGAACGGTGAACGTTATCGTGACATGAAAACAGTGTTATTATGGCCTGAATTAGATGAGATGGACTTGGACAATATGTTGTTTCAACAGGACGGGTCACTTGCCATACAGCGCATGATCCGGTGCCCAATTACGAACATCTGCGGTCTTATTGAATCGCCCTATATGTGAAGGAATACTTACTTCGGGCATTACTCCAATCCTTGCACTTACATAAAGTACCAAATTTTTGTGGTCTGATCTCACTTCATACGATTTTCGTAGCGCCATAACAGCTTTGGAGTGGCTTAAAAGGAATGGCGTAAATTTTTTGCCAAGAGAGCCAATGGCTTTCGTTAAAAGTTAAATTAATAATAATAATAGATTGGCGCTTACACATATGCTAGTATTTGGACGAGGGGAGTGACCTACAGTTTTACGTCGACTTCGAACGGCGATTGTATTTTTATGAGCAGCTGTTTTTCGTAGCAGAAATACACTCTGTGGTTTGCCATTGCCTGCGAGGGGCGTCTGATATTAAACAAAATTTTAATTTTTTTATTTTTTAATGTTGGGTTGAACTGCTAACCACTACACCACAGCGGCCGACGGCAACAAAAAAATTGTCAAGGAAGTGGTTTTGGGCACCCGTGGTATAGAGATGCCGCTTTTAAATCGATTAAATCGAATATCGATTAATCCAGCCCTTCCGATTCGATTTTTTGTCGATTTTTTAGTTCCGATTCGATCCCTGAATTTATTCAAAAAAGTTGGGAATCGATATTCAATTTTTCCTAATTGATGCATATTGATGTACGGTTTACCTTAGAAAATCTATAGAATTTTAAAGAAATTTAAATTAGAGGCTGGTAAAATAATGTAATGGGGCTTGACACCTCCCACCTTTCTAACTTAAGAGAGCAAAGACCAAAGAATTCAATGATCTGCCTCTCTTCCTCTTCCGAATAAAGAGCTCCTCAGGGAAGCCTATTTAAAATAACTATATAAAATTATGGATAATTTGTAGCATTAAAAACTCTAAAAATCGGAATTCCAAACTTTATGGAAATTCTTATGAAAATTGTCTCTTCTCTTTAGTAAGTATGCAGTTTTGCAGCAAATCTTCAGTTTTGCAAAAAAATCTAAATAAATACATCAAATGATTTCGTGTTCGGTCTAAATGGTATTATTGCAAACAAAAAAAAAACGTTAACTAAAGCTTTATTTCTCTACAACATGTTTTATCTCCACCATTTGAAAAGCGCTCAGCAAAGCTGCCGGAGTAATGTACAGCAACCACAGAAAGTTGTGCTGCTGAGCGGTAGATGGCGCTGTTGGATTTCCGCCGCTATGAATGTTTCTTTCGGTGTGCTTTTTGAATTTTACAAGCCATGGTGTGGTGGTGATTGTAAAGTTTGCAATCCAAATTCAAGAATCAGGCAGGTCTATTGTCAGTCCATTTCATTCGATATGATATTTTCTGGATGCATACATACATACATTTAACTTAAATCGTAATTTAATCTTATATGCAGATGGATATGTCCATCGAAAGAGTGCAATCAAAATTTTTAACAGAGCTGGCACAATTATAAAAACTAGAAAGAAACTGTTGACAAAATTATACATTACACAGGTTCGCGAGGTACAGCTTCTTGTAAACTTTTTTAAAAGGAATCTGATCTTGAAATGCTCCACAATGTTAGGATTCTTGGCAGTTTTAGGTTAAATTGTTAAAAAGCAATGATGTTTTAAATTTTTAATTGATTTGGAAAAATGGAGTTTAAAACTGAAAAGTAGTACATACTAGTCATGATTTTGTAGGAAAAAATTCCACACCCGAATAAATTGTATAAAAAAGTAAAAATTTAACCTGAAATTACCAAAAATTTTGAAGTGCTGGAGAATTTTCAAAGCCAGCGCAAAAAAATCTTCAAGAATCACACCTAGCCTTTCTTGAAACTGGAAAAAGCAAAACCTTGAAAGCCTGTATTATGCTGAGTTTCCACTAAGCATTAAATTACAAAATTTTTATTGACAATATTGGGCTTAAGACACCTGTGGGTTTATAAAAATACTCTTTGTCTGTTTTCACATGCCATTTCATGAACGGATTTTCAATGATTAGTTGAAATTCGGTATGATTTTAATAATACGAATGGATCGTAGAACTCAAGGTCGCAATATTCTATCCCCAAAAATAATATTATAAGTTATATCTACGAATGGTTCTGGAGAGATCCATATTATTTTATATTTAAATATATCTAATACAATTGACAGAAATTAAAAAATAATTTCCACTTAAATTGCTGTGAAAGGGGCAGTTTAAGTTTAAACAGGAATTTTTGTTTAGGGTTGCCAACTATCACCAAGCAATTACGTTTGTTTTTCTTGTTTAAAAAATGACAATAATTTTTGGTATCAAATAAAATGAACTTAGAAATGTTTTGGTGTAAGATTTCCACCTAAAATTAGTTTAGCTGACGTTTTTAATGTCGAAAGTGTAGTGCGTAAGTAGAGTAATGGCTAGTTCCTCCCATAAATACGTACCTTGTGCAAAATAAGTTACACTGAGAAAAACAAACTTGGTTAATATTACCAAATTGAAACTTGAAAAGGAATCATCGTAATTTTTGGTTAATATTAACCATGCCTTGGTTGATATTTTCAACAATCATTTGGTAATATTAACCACAATTTTTTTACATTAACCAGACTTTTGGTTGGCGACTTTTCGTTTGAAAACGTTAATGTTCTGCACTTCACAGATGCTTTTTCATAATTCGGAGATACAAAACAAAAATTTTTATTATCATTTTAACACGTTGCCCCTCACGGTATTTGAAACCGCATATTCTGAATGTTAGCTAATAACAGCAAGCATCTCTGGACACGCAGCTACAGCTGCTTTATAAACGTGTCTGCAAATGTTCAACTTGAATAAATTTTCTTTGCCGTTTGATTTGGTTTGGCACTTCACAGATGCTTTTTCGTTATTAAGAAAAACCTGAATTTGTTTTTAAATGTTCAACTTCAATCACATTTTTTACAATCGGTGTATTAACCATTAAAAAAACCAAACAATAACTTGGTTGAAAAAACCATTGTACTTTTGGCTCAGTGTACCTTTAACGAAAACCTGCGATATTCTATCTAGTGGACACTAATTGCTAACTAAGCGTTTTATTATTTTGCTACCAACGATTTCATTGACGACAAATACAAAAAAATAATAATGTACGAAGTGAAAAATATAAACAAAGGCAAATAATTGAGTGAATGAGAATAAGCATGTGAATACAGTTGGCTGGAAATATGCCAAAAACAAAAGCGACAACAATAGCAAAAAAATTAAATGTGCTAACAAAATAAAAGAAGAAAACAACTAATAAGTCAGCAACAATTTCAACTGGCGCAGAATGAGTAGGCGCGCGCAACAACAATGACAAGAACCGAAATGGCAGTAACAACAAATGTTTCCAATGCTAATACTAATGAAAGGGCAATGTGCGAACAACAACAATGAAGCAATGTAGAATACAAGTAAAAGCAAAAAAAAACAAAAACGAAAAAAAAAAAAAAATTATTAAAAAATTTGTTAAAAAAAAAATCATATCAGCAGTCTGATAAAGTTGCAGAAGATAACGCGAATACCGCATATGAGAAAGTAAGAGGTAAAAACTAAAAATATTTTAACTATATGAAGGAAAATACTTATACTTAGCACATACATGCATGACTAGCAAGATCTTTGCTGACTGAGGCAGCGATTGAAAAATTTTTCACCGCAGTACGAATTCAAAGGCGCAAGTGAAAGAACGTCGCACGTCGAACGGCAGAACGGACGGACGGTTGAAGATATGTTTATGTACATATGTATGTATACTATATAGTGTGAAACGGTACGGTTAAAGGCGCAAATTTAAAGTGAGATACATGAAGAAAAACTGAAGGTGAACGCATAACGCTGAGGATATAGTGAGCATGGAACACACGAGTACGCAACGTGGCAAAATGTTCGAGATATCAAGTGAAATTTTTTTGGTATCGAACAAAAAAAAAAAAGTGACGAAACAGGTTCATATTACAAAGAACTGAAGAGAATTACAGTAAAATACATATTAAACTAAAGAATTGATGAAATAAAAGTTTGAAAGGCAAAGTAGAAACAGTTAATGAATTGAAAAGAAGCCTTTATGAAATGAACTAAATCGAAATGAAACGAATTGGCATAAAAATAAAACGAAACTGCAAATAAAATTAAATGAAATAATAAAGAATGAATATTGAATGCAACGATATAATATGAAAATAAATGAAATGTAATGTAATGACACGAACGCGAAGCAAAGAAATTACATGAAATGAGTTTAACTAACTTTAACTATATGTAACACCCCAAGCCGATTTCATCATGGTGTTATAAAAATAGCCGATTTCTGCTTCTTTTATTCTCTTTACATGTATTTTGTGTTTATTTTACTCACCATAAAAACAAGAACAAAATACGTGTAAATTTTGTGTTTGTGCTATTGCTACCACCTTGTATGAATTCGCCTTGTAACACCCTATATTTCCGACTGTTGGTTTATTGTAGCGGTGTTGCATAGTAACTTACTACGATACAATCAGCACAACCTTGCCGTTTTGATACTCTCTCGTGAAGATGATAAATAGCTACAGTCATGTGAAAAGTAATAGGTACACGACATTTTGACCAATTTTGGCTATTTTTCTTCTGTTTGTTTAATGCTTATTCTTATTTTTTTTTTATAAAAATACCGTCTATTGTCTAAAAAAAATATATATGTAAGTCAAAATTTCCATTTTTATAGAAAAATTCAAAGAATTTTTATAACCAACTTTTTATTAAGAATTTTTTGGAAAATTTTAAGCATGCGGATTTTTGATAATTATTTTGCGGATGGTAATATTATTTTTTCGCATACAAAAAAAAATGTCGAACAGGCTTTTATAGTCGTTAACAAAAAATCGACCGCGTACCTCCGAATGGCTAATTTTTTGTGGAGTTATAAAATTGGTCGAAATGCAGTGTCCTATTATTTTTCACATGACTGTATATACATATATCTAGGTTTCTTAGTTAAACCATCTTGATTTCCTGTTGAGTTTGTCGATATGGCCTGTAGTAGATCCTGATATATCTGCCAGTTTTGTTTGTATGTATCTTCCAAGTTTTTTATGCCTAGACCTGGGCATTATTCACAAAAGAAATGCTGGGCACTTGCTTCCGGACCTCCCAGTTGACAGCCGCGGCAAGTTCTATTATATGGGAGCTTTATTCCCGCTGCATGTTTGCTCATGGGCCAATGCCCCATTTGCTACAAATCTAAATTTTCGGTCCTTTATCTATTAATCAGGTCGAGTGTCTTCCTCCGGTTGTACTAAGGCCAGAGTTCCTTGGCTATTTTGCAAGCCTATTAATCCGTTCACATTTTCCTTGCCAGTCCAAGAAATTGCAATCTAATTTTATTTTGAACAATTCCGAGGGGGCATGCCTTCAATGTTCCTATGGCCAGGAACCCAGACCAGAGAGACGCTTATTGACGCAGACACTGAACATAATTCCATTTTGCGTTTTCGGTTGTAGTTGTACGCATTTTTTTTGGTTCGTTGTTCTGAGCACGTTCGGGTAGAAACCACATTGCATTTTGTCGTAAAAAAGGTTTGCCTTTCCTATGATCTTACTGCTTCGAAAATGGTCTGATCCGTCAACCCCTAGTCTAATGTAATCCAATTCGCAGTGGCCCTTAAGAATATTTATAAGGACGGATAAATCCGCGTATTTTCTGTTATAGGACGGCCAGATATGCAAGCGATTTCGCTGGACGAAAAGTTTTTCCCAGCGTTCACTGGCTTATTGAGTTTTGTGATCCCTTAACTAGACACCGTTTAAAGAGTGTAATTGGTATACCTATCATGTCCTCTCTGGAAAGGATGTATAGGAAAGGATGGATAGGTTGAATTCTATAAGTATGCGGAATTTCGCATTGTATAATTCCGAGTATCAAGCTTTAAGGGCTACCTGTGGTGCCTCCTAGATGGCCAACACTTCCTATATATTTACACGCGCCTGGGATTGTCGAAACCTTTGATCCATAATCCGGCTTCTTTTATCTCGCATCAACCGGTTTTTTTTTTAAGTATTGTCCATCTTGTTATCATTGTTTATGCATTTTGAATATCAGAAATGTTTTGACCGGTTAGGGAATGACCTCGAGGTGTTTAAGGGTCTTTGTGATCTCAGAGAAACCATTTTAAAATTTTAACACTGTTTGTAAAAGGCCTAGCATTACAATTATTGATATTTTTTTAATTACTATATTCTACATTTCGCTCGTTTCAATTCCAAGTTCCAGCCATATTAATGCCAATATAAATACGTAAAAATTTTATTTTTTATTTCTGGATTGACCATCTTGAAACTGAGTAAGCAACCAGAAAAAATTAAAAAAAGTTGCGTACATGACTAAACAATGAACAAACGTGTATAAACTGCTTTGTTGTATATCCAATGTAGGTCTTCACACATGTGCTTTGTGTAAGTGACAAATTTGAAAGTAAATTACTTCCTAAATTATTATTAACAATTTTTAGACGAATGAATTATTTTGACAGTTTAAATAATTTGAAAAGTAACTGTCTTGCCTTTTGAATTTGTACTTTTATTTATCTTATCGATTAGTAATAATGCGACAATAGCACCTAATTATCTCACCAATTTATATGGTTCTCGAGTACAATTTTGTTAATTGCATACTTGAGTTGTCTTTTATGCTGGTCACGCAACTTATAAACGTTTTTAGTACATTTTATGTTTACAGTGACTCAAATAAGTGATCACTTGTTCATTTTTCTTTTAATATTCGCCATGTTTTTAAAGTTTAATTTTTTTGTAATTTTTCTGTGAAAAATGTTGTCCACGATGTCTTTACCCGGTGAAATCAACTCGAAGGTACCTTTCCTAGCCGACTTATCCGCAACGCGATTTTCTGCAATATAAGTATGGCCTTAAGATAGCCTACCCAAATGAGTTTGACTGGGGAAAATTCCCCTGCCAACGTCGAGCAATTTAACATACAGACGACTGCTTCCTCAACTACAGTGATCTTGAAGCCAAAATTAAAGGTTAATGGATCATGCCCTGCATGAAAGCAAAATCCACTGGCACTTCACCGGTTTCGCTAAAAAAATAAAAAGCTTATTATTTGCAAGAAAAAGGAAAAAAGTAGAAGCTATACAGCTAAAATGGCAACACTGCTCAGAGATGACTAAGCCTTAGTTTTTTGGTCAACGCTGTTTTTTTTATATAATCTATTGCACGCAATTTTTTATCACTTGCTTATCAGTAAAAAAGAAGAAAGCTATAGAAATTAAAAATTAATGGAAAAGACAGATAAAAGATAATACGACTTAGTCATCATGAGGGGAATTTTGTTTCAAATAATTTTTTAATGCTTTTATTTTTAGAATATGTATTTGTATCTATGTACACATACATATATTGTCGTACCTGTCCGCAAATTATCATAATATTTAGATACAAAAAAATTACTGCTTTATGAATCCAATTTTTAGTATCTGATATCTGGATGCCATTGCATGATTAATGAAGTTTGCGGAAACGCCACGTTTTTATTTAGAATATAGAGTATGGTTACCGGCCTAGAAGAACTATTTAAATATAACAAAGTCAATACATAAGTTTTCGACTAAATGATCATTTAATAATAATTAAATATTATAAGCACATTTGCTTCCAGAAACTCGACATTACAATGTTCACCTATCTTTTCAAAATATGTTTTTTTTGCAGGATCTTTTATCTGTGGTCTCAGTATAATCCTCAGTTTTCAGCGATCATGTAAATTCAATTTACAACAGCAAAACTATTTTGTGGCCTTTTTTATGTTAGAATGAAAACTTATTGGGTGACGTGTGCTGACTATTCTTTGAAATTGATAATATGTATAACTTGATAAGATTAAAAAGTAACATATGCATACGTACATGCCTGCCTCCATTTGTACGTTCTGATGTATTGAGTACTATTAAGTAAACTTTAACATAGAAAGGCCCTAACTCATTTTCGTTCGAAATCTAGTTCTGTACGAAAGTCAGTAACCTACTCACTAAAGTCTTAACAGAATGTGAAATAAACTACTTCAGCAAAAGCTTCATTACAGTGTAATGAAGAAATCGCAAAAGAAGAACTTTGTTTTTACAAAGTTGTATAACTAATCTGCAATGAAAAAAAAGTTAGATAGTGCCTTTCTGTATGATTGTAACGATATGTATTCATCTTTGTCTTAAAAATTAACCCAAAAGCGCTTAACTGATGTGTACTCATACAGTTTGACGTCACTGTAAGCCAAGTAAGTAAACAGCTCACAAGTTCAGTCGATTTTTGCATGAAATGTGCAAATTGGTGAATACAAAAGCAATAAAGCAAATAGATAAAAAAAGGAAATTATTAAAGCTAAAAATCTACAACAAACAAATGAAAAGTTTACTGCTATAACTAAAATACAACATCAAGGTGAAAACAAAGAAAACCGTCAATAAGAGAAATATCGTAAAGAAAACTGAATAATGAATGAGAAGTGCGATAAAAATTGTTGAAAATTGCTTTTATGTAATATAAAAATTAATATGGTTATGCAAAAACATGTTATTGGTAAATAAAATGAGAAAGAGAGTAAGACGAGAAGTGAGAGAGAGAGAAGTCCCGAGAAAAATTAAGTAATATTTAGACTATATGAGAAATTGAGCATTAATAGCACTTAACTGGTAAACTGGAACTTATATTCTCATAAAAGAGCTACATTTATCAATAGGCATGCTAATGGCTCTGAGTATTTTTGTTATGTTATTTGTGTGGGAACGCGTCCCGCGCAAAATAATTAATATTGTTTCGCTTTGTTTTTGATTTTTCCTTTTTGAGCGACTTGAATCCATATAAATATATGTACTTACGTATACATATACGTATGCATGTTCGACGATCTTACCAATTTGCACAGTTGTTTGGTTGACTTGACTATGTCTAGCGACATACTCGTACTAAGTGTGAAATATGAAAATTTAAGTATAAGTACTTAAGTAAGCTGCAAAATTACATACATACATACATACAAACATACCTCTACCGACTTTGTGTCGTTCTGCTGTACTAAATAAGTTGTGATGTATACTCGGAGTTCATTAGTTAGTTTGCTACTTAGTCGCACGTCCGTTGCTCGTTTGGAAACAAAACAAAAAAAAAATAAATTGTTTTAATTGACCAGACAAAATTTTTCTGGTTTAATATGCTACAATAAAAGAGTGTTGCTGTGATTATGTATTCGTTTCAATGAAGAACAGAAAACAGAAAAAAAAGCGAACGTTTTCCTATTACTACAGATACTACATATCGAATGGAATAAAAAAAAATTAAATAAAATACAATAATATATAATAAAAAAGTTAGTAAATCAAATTAAAATAAATAATATATTTTGGGATACTATAAAATGAAACAAAATAAAATAAAGCAATAAATCTATATTAAATTATGATATTAAAAAAAAAAATACAATTATATCAAATAAAATAAAATAAGCAAAATAACATAAAAAAAATAAATAAAAAGATGGCGTTAAAAATTACTGTATCGAGAAAAAATTAAGTATGTACAAAAAATTCTATCAAAAACATTGACTTAGGATAGAAGAACAAATTATAAGAAGGAAAATTAATATACAAATGAGGAAAAATATGAAAATTGTAAGAAAATACAAAAATTATTTAAGGTAAATTAAAACACAGTATAAAAATATAAAGAAAAACGACAAAATAATACAAAACCAAATAAAACATTTAAAATATATTAGTATAAAATTAAATAAAATAGATTTAATTAAAATAGAAACAAATATAAAAAATATAGCCCAAAAATTAATGTAGAATAATACTAAACAAAATAAATAAAAATTAAGTAACGTAAAATGTAAAAAATAAATAAATAATGAAATATAAAAAATATTTTAAGAATAAAATAAAACAAAAGAAAGTAATAATAACAAAAGAAAAAACGATAGAACACAATAAAAAATAAAAATAAAAACATGCATTAAAAAATAAAGTAAAGCAAAAACATAGTAAAGTGATGTACATAAAATAAGATAAAACAAAATAAGATAGTACAAAAAAGGAAAAAAGACAATTAATTAAAACAAAAAAGTTACAATCATATTAAAATTATTATAAGGATATGCAAAATTAAAATTTTTGTTAAAAATAATACAGCACAAAATTAAGATAAGAAATCTGAACTTAAAAATTCCCGATTGTGAAGTTGTAATTTTTGATGCACTTAAAAACTTTTAATTAAAACATTCGTATTAAAGCCAAAATGGACAGCTTTTATAAATTTTTTTTTCAAATAAAAAATTTTCAAAACTGCAAGCAAAACTTTACCTCGTAGTGGAAGTGACTAATAAAAATGTGTACTAACGAAAACTAAAAACAAATAAAAAGTTTACGAAAATAATAAAAAAAGCAAAAATTAAAAAAATAAGAAAGAAATATAAAATAAACAAATAGTTAAAAAGGATTAAAAAAACTTAAAAAATAAGTTCTACTAATTCTTTTTAGGGATTTATAACTCTGTAACTCCTGAAGCTAAAATAATTGCTGTATTTTATAAAGGAACCAACCCGATTTTTGTTTTTAGTTTTGAGACAAATAACAATAAAAATTTACCATACTGAGCTATGAACCATGGATATAGTAATTTATGTGAGCTACTACAAAAATTAATTGAAAATTAGATCGTGCCATGAATTAAAATGTGAAAAATAGAAAACAAAATAAAAACAGTGTTATACATATATATACATACATACATATGCATTGCATGACCATGACTGAAATTTAGCGAAAATCTGAAAGTGTGAAAACAAAAAGAATTACTAAGTGCCACCCCGTCGGCAAATGTGTGATAAGTGTGTAGAGTTAACAAAATTGACAGGTGCCAAGACTCAAACAACAATACATAAAACAAGTGTTTGACAAATCTGAAATAATAATTCTATTTTTAGCAACAACAATAAGCAAAGAGAAACATAAACAAATGGCTGATGAATAAAAATTAAAAACAGAATCTAAATAAATATGCGAGAGGGTATTAGAGCGCATTTCAAACAGTGTCGCAAGTAAAGTAAAATTTATTGATTTTAAAATACAAAAGAGCGCTAAAGTCAGCGCGATCGAAATTCAAGCCGACGAACATAAAGTGAGAAAAGATTTCAACAGTGTTTTATTTAAATTTGTGTGTGGGTGTTTCTACAACACAGCTCAGATAAGTGCGCTCACTTCCGTTTACCCACTACAGTGTGCTCCCCATCCCCCCAAATACTATTACAATCGATACCACATGGCCGACGAGAGCACCACCGACAGTCCGCGTCCCTTTCGCCGCGAACGTAATCTAAGTAATCGAAATTTCGCCAAGCGCCGCTCCTCGCGACGCGTTAGTACTGAGAGCCACAGCTCAGTGGAGTCATTTAATCTAAGTGCGGCTGAGAGCACCCACACTTCCAGCTCAGTGAGCTCAGCGCACGAGCACAATTCCAGCGCAAGTCACAATCACAGTACGCCGAGTAGCAGTGGCAGTAGTGGTTCGCATTCGCTTAGTGTCGCCAGTAGTCAATTACAGTATTCATATTCGGTACATTCGGACACGGAAAGTGCTTTTTATCGCGCATCCACGCGTAGAATGGTACCACCACCATTGCCCATAACTGGGCCACCACACAATGACGATGAAGAGGTGCCGGCGACGGCGCCGAATCAAGATGATGGCGCTGCTGCCGAAGCTGAGCAACAACCTACGCCAACAGACCCTGCCTTGTTGGGTGTACGACAAAAAGTTCATCGCTTTGAGACGTTAACAGCAGAGCAGCGTATTTTGTTCAAAACGGGTCGTCATCAGCTACGTAAACAACAGCAGCACAACACACATACAGATGCCGCGGCGTCAACCGCAGCTGATGTGACGGCCTCGCCTGGCTTGTGGCGTGTCTTTCCGCCAGCGATGCGTCGCTCCACACCTGATGCGGATAGCTCGGCAGGTGGTCGTCATTCGACGGCTAGCTCTTTTCACACCTCCATCGATGAGGAACGTTCGGTGGACGATGTGGATGACTTCTCTGATTATGCAGAAGATGAGCATGCTGCGCGCGCAGCCGAAGCCGGTATCGATGGAGCGGCTGAGCATCTTGTGCCCGAGGAGGCGCATGAATTACGCGAGGATGTGGTGCCATCACCGGTGCCTAGTTACACGCCAACACATGATGATGATGATGATGATGATCAGCAAGTGACAGCGCACGCTGTGGAATTGGGTGTGGATGATTTTGGTAAAGTGGAAACGGTACGTCGCACTGTGTGCTCGGCCACAATGCCGAAGAGTAGGACGAAAAAGCAGCAGCTAGCCGAAGATGAGAGTGGCGCAACGACAGCGAGTAAAGATTTTCCCAGGTGAGTGGTTATTACATACATATGTAGGCATCAATGTTACTAACATGCTAAGTAAAAAGTGTCTAGTAAGTAGGGCCTAACATAAAAAATGTTTCATTCGAATGGCTATTTGTCCTATAAGCTTTCTCCGCTAGAAATCGCCTTGCTAATTTTTAGGCGGCAACAGCCCTAAAACAGGCTTGCCCAATTATATTCATAATAAAAAACCCTAAGTTAAACTATGAAATCGGCTAGATGAGGGTCAGTCAATGCCACTTGGGAAATGTAGCATATTTTTAGGCACACCTGTTATTAAAGGTCTTTAGAGACCAAAATTTAGATAAGCGATGAATTGTTTTCATTATAAAAGAATTTTGAAATAACTGTTGGAGTATAGGGTTATCCATGTTCTCCTTGGGAAGCTAAACCTACAAACACGTGCTGAATATTTACTTACAAATTTGATAAAATTTTTATTTCATAAAGTTTGCCCTATGTAAACGTTCAAAACCTGAATCTCGAATATATGCGTACTGGAAATTTTTCGCCCAGTAGAGTCATAACCGGCCCCGTCTTGTTGAAATTATATTTCGTTCAGATCAAAATCTTTAAATTCTGCCCGAAAAAATGTCAGCATAGCATTGAGAATAGACTATTATGGTGGCTCATTGTCTTTTTCGAAGAAAGTACGGACCGAAGGCGCTGATGACCCACGATGCACATTAAAGAGCCACTTTTTGAGGCTGCAATGTCTTTCAGCGGTCACTTCTGGCTGCTCATTAATCCAGATTTGGCAAGTGTTTATTAATATAACAGCCATGAAAGTATTTCTCAATCATTCAACACCTCTTAAAAAGAATTAAAATTTCGTCTGAATATGGCACTCATATTCAGTTTTTCTAATATTTCAAACCCGCATCACATGGAAACTGTCATCGAAAATGTACAGATATCGCTATCGACAAATTTATCGATTTTGTTATCGGTAAGTTATCGATATTAACCAGATTATAGACAACTATATTATAATTTTTGTCGTTTCCATTACCTGTTCGTATTTGCTATCGAAATCGATAATAAGAATTGCTTTTCGATATGAAAACATTATTTTATATCGTTATCGATAATAATCTTTTGCTATAATCAAGTTCGTTTCGATGCGACGATGAGTGTGTAGAATTTTTTCACCCGAGCAACGTCGTTCATTTGCTTATGATAGTTGATTTCAAAGTGCTTTCATTTTTCATTTGAACAATCGTCAAACAAAAGAAAGCGATCCAATCAAAAAGATTTTAAAAATATAGTGTGCCATAACAAAGACACGCTCATACATATGTATGCATATCGACAAACAGTAGGTAATGTTTTTATGTTTGCCAACTGTAACCATAAACTATGTATGGCTGGTGGCCGCGATTAATTGCTCGTTGTACCAAACTTGAAGAATAACTGCTGCTTTTTAAGGTGTTTCCAGCTACACAAGTGGCTTTGGCGGTCATTACATTACATTACAACAACAAAATATCTGTTGTGACAACAAAACATTAATACTTACCATAATGAAAATAGTAAGGAAAATCAAATAAAGTCTGAAAAAAGTTGTACTGCCATACGATTGGTTGCAAAGCCTTTTTTAGTTAAATACTTAAAAATCTAACTACGACCTACTTACATTTGTGCGGCCTAGTCCGTTTGGCTAAGCATAAATTATTTGTTTAAAGTATTTTGGTTTGTGTTACAACGTTTAAGTAGAGCTTTTAGCTTTGTAACTTATTTAATGCGACTTTTTGCTGATTGATACGGCCGATATTTTGTGCTTACCTACCCACTCTGTCTCGTATTGAGTGAGCAAAGAGATGTTGCTTTGAGTGTTGAGCAACATTGTTGCGGATGATTTCGTTGCTCACCTGAATTTAAAAGGAAATGGTTGAAACAATTTTATTTTTTTTTTAATGGAAAGCTGGGATGGTATTTTTTTGAATAAAACTTTTCATTTACTTAATTAAAGCAATTTTCAAATCACTTATTCTTTATCTAACGTATAGGCATAAATAAATATGTATGTGTGCGTGCTCTTAGGTGTTGTAAATTGATAGACTTCATTTATCATACGAAATTTTAGGATAAAAAACTTGCTAGACAACTTCTTTAGGCTATTTGTTGAATTTGTTTGAATATGTACATAAATGTGTAGTACATATGTATGTGGGTTTGTATTTGCATCATTGTTTGGGTTTGTGTTCGTAAATAATCTTTAGAGTTGTGGGTTGACACCGTTTTTGGACGTATTTATTGTAATGAAGTAAACATCTAAACAAAACAATGTAATTCAGATAAGATAAATAGTTGTGAATCTGAAAATTTAAACGAAGTTGTCAATATATATATAAATACTAATACGCGACATTTATGGCAACTTCTCAAAAATATTGTTTGTTTTTTTGTTTTTGCAATGGGGGGTTCGTTTACGCCAGATGCTTGTGGCTTTGAATGAAGCATTATAATATATACTTACTTAGTTTGAGTATACATATGTATTCATGTACATACCCAAATACAGAAGTGTTCACGAAAATACCATTGCGACGTATTAATAAGTTTTGACCATTTTTTATTATTTTTTTTAAATATAGTTAATTCTATAATACAACCCAACAAATCAAAATTTTAAACTTTCTAAGAAATTCAACAAATATTGAAACAAATTTAATGATTTTTTATCAGAAATTTTATAAAACTTTTAGGTATCCAGTTTTATAGCCGATTAAATTTTAGTGTAACAAAAGTGCATGTTTGAAGTAGCTCAAAATTAAGGTTAGATTTTGAGAATTTCTTTTCGTTGAAGGTGTTGCGCTTTATCTTTCACATACATATGTATGCATTTTGAAACTCGCACCGGCACGGCAAACATTTTTATCACCATGTGAACACTCGTTTGCGTCACTGTAAATCTATGTTTTAACCATAAGCTATGCCGATTTTCAACTATAACTTTTTGTTCTTTAAAAAGTCTTACCTGGTATTCGCATTAGCCATACTCTTTTTAGCAATGCCTTACG